TACACCGCCAGATAGGTAGCACACACCTGTAATCCAGCATTAGCATTTGGGAGGCTGAGGCAGGAGGACTGAAAGTTTAAGGCAGCCTGTGTTACATAGCAAGAGCCCGTCTCAAAATTCAAGGGCTGGGGCTGCTGCTCAGTGGTAGAGTACTTGCCTAGCATGTACAAGGTCCTAAGTTCCATTCTCATTACTGTAGGCATTTGAGAGAGTAAATAAAATAGCTAGTCAATTACTTTTTCCTTGTGTAGCTCAGCAATAAGAACAGGCTACTTTGAAACAGGAACATGTTTACAAATATGAATAAGCAGGGGGACACAGATGGAAGGGGAGGGATGGAGCACTGGTGAATGGAGTTCACAGGTAGAAAGAGAAGAACAGAATTTACACGTGTTCCATCACCAGTTACAAGTACAGGGAGCCGATCATTTTAAGGCAGCACCCTGCTGAGAGAGGGTTTTAAGAGTGGCCCGTTGCATTCCAAGTCTGTAAAGGAGGCAAACGTTGTACAAGAACCATGCTCTGATTCACTGTAAAGCACAGCCCTTGGTTTAAGAATCAAACATGGCATGAAGGTAAACCCAAATCCAATGGGCTATTTTAATGCTGATGAGATTTAAATGAATAGTCCATTGTATGCAGATGAAAACATGCCATTTAGTGCATAACATAATTGAAGGGCACCACTGACAGTATCAAGTCATCTGAAACTGATGGACGGTTATTAAAGAGGCTTTATTTGTGAAAAAAGACTGCTCACCAAATGCACTCAGTACTTACGAATCCACATGGTTTTCAAAGGAGAGGAGAATTGGGAAAGGTGACGTCTTGAATGCACACTCGGCAATTGCTTCTATCACTTCCTGAAAACAAGAACACATGCATGTTCAGCACGGCACAGTTCTTTAAGTGTATATATTTTTTCTTAGAGTTAAATCCATTAGTATTATGGGTGGGTTTGTTTGTTTTAGTTGTGTGTGTGTGTGTGTGTGTGTGTGTGTGTGAGTTTTTAAGTTTTGGGTTGTTGTTTCTTTTGGGTGGTTCAAGCCCAGAGCCTCATATAGCTTTGCTAGGCCAGTGCTCTGCCACTTACCGGCTTCTCCAGCTCAGAGTGTCTTTTTTTATTTATAGCATTGTATCAAATGGCTTGAAATGGCTAGAGGGGAACTGGGAGGGCTGCTGGATGGTACAATTCTAACTTTTGGTCTCATAAGGTAAAAATGACAGCAGGGTTTGATGCAGGGTGAGAGATAGCTGGGAAGAATGGTTCTTCTGTTTGCGATTATAACTTCTGCTTTTTAATGACAAAACATCTAGTCATATTACAAAACCTTGGACAATAAGAGCTGGCAATATTTGCAACCCATAAATTCTTTTTCTGAACCAAACCACAGTTAGCATTTGGTCATAGTTACTTCTAGTTTGTTTTTTTATGTATTTGTATGACCTAGTAATTACAGTTATATAATTTGTATTTTAATGAGTATTGTTATTAAGGCATAAAGCAAAGCACGGCAGTGCAGCTTGGTGGTAGGACACCAAAACCGAAACCCACACGATGGAGAAAAATCTCAGCCGTTGAATCTTCAGTACAACAGCTTTCATACGTGCAGAGTCCAGTAACAATTACCCTGGATACTTTTATCATCCCAGAAAAAGGCCGTGGTTCTGCTGGAAGCTCCTCGCTTTTCCTAACTCCCACCTCACGTGCCGAGTCCTCAGCAACCACGGATCTTTACATCTCCCTAAATTTGCTTGTTCTAAACATTTTACATGCAGGGGACCATGCATGCTTTGGATCTGGCATCTCTCAGCTGGCATGCTTTCAGAGTCCATACATGTTCCAACATGTGTCAGCGTCTCATTGTTCTTTCTAGAACTGTTTTAAATGTTATGTCAGGGGTGGGGCTGTCACTGAACGGTAGAAAATTTGCAACTGTGCTCAGTGCCCTGTGTCCTACATCCAGCACTGAAAATAGCATATATACCATAAGCTTCAGTAACTCTACAACTATCACAACTGATTTAACTATTCATCATCTGTGGGTATATTTTCCTAGGATGGCTTTTAAAGGTGGAATTATTGAGTCAAATAATATGAACTCATTCAGTCTTGTATTGTTTAAAAATTATTTTTCATTTTAGTGTCTACAGAGATGCATGATGGTCCAAACTGAAATATAAACTCACCACTGGGCATCTGGAAATTATTTTTCCCAAAGTGTTTTTCTTATTGGACTAGTACCAAAGTGCAGTCTCATTTATTGTTAAGTGTTCCATCATCTCTCTAGTTTAAACTTCACATTCCCATACGTTGCTTGTTTATATTTACTCTCTTCACATACTCCTTTCAAGTTGGAATTTCTACTCCCATTCTTCATGCCTAACCCTTCCCTACTACCTCCTTCACCTTTGCTGTATGATGTGTGGTTTTCTTTACAGCTAGGCCATTAAGCGCCTTTCCTTGCTACAGAGTATAGGTTAGGTTTTCTACTTCTGTACTGCATTTGTACATATCCTCTAAGAAAGATGTGCCCTGATGGCGCAAAAATCGCTCTCACTGTTCCTTAGAAGTAAATTCACGTATTGCTTTTCAGACATAATTGAACTTTTATCACAGTTGAGTCCATCAAAATAAATGCACTATAAAAACCAAGTAACATCAAGGCGTACAAACTTTTTAGTCCAGGGGCTGGAGAGAAGAGTCACTAGTTAAGAGCTGTGGTTGCTCTTGCAGAGGACCTGGGCTTGGTTCCCAGCACCCACATGACAGCTAACAACTCTCTGTAACTCTAGTTCCAGGGGATTCAACACCCTATTCTGACCTCTGTGGGCATTGCATGACATGGGTGCACTTACACACATACAAGCAAAACATACATACACATAAAATAATAAATAAAAATATAAGAAAAATTTTTAGGGACTGAAGAGATGGCTCAGCAGTTAAGAGCACTGGCTACTTTTACAGGAGACCTGGGTTTGTATCCCAACACCTACATGGTGGCTAACAACCTTCTATAACTCCAGTTCCAGGGGATCCAACACATTCCTCTGTCCTCCACAGGCGCTGCACAACATGGGTGCATTACACATATGCAGGTATAACACTCACGCACATAAAATTTTTTTTTAAAAATTTAGTTCATAGATCTGCACACAGGTCATGCATGCCAAAGGTTTATGTTGGGCTCCTGTGTCTTAGGCTTATAAGCTGTGAGATGCTGGGAAAATTACCTAATGCTTCTCAGTCTTGGCTTGGTGTTTTGTGAGGTAGGTATAAGCTCCATCCACAGGCCTGTTGTGAGGGTGCAGAGGCAGAATGGGAAGTTCAGGGTTCACGTCTTACTAGTGATTTGCTCCACATTTGCCTTAGCCTTTTAAACTAGTAGAAAAACGAAAGATTCAAGCTGGGTATGGGGGCACATACCTGTAATCTCAGCACTTGAGAGGCAGAGGGAGACAGATCTGTGTGAAATCAAGGCCAGCCTGGTCTAAATAGAAAGTTCCCGGCCAGTTGGGGCTATAGGGAGACACTGTCTCAAAAATCAAGTAAACAAAAACCATAAAAACAAACAAACATCCTTCCCCACCACCAACAAACAAAATCAGACCTACCCCAAGAGATGCATTAAATGGGCACATGCTATGTTCCAGCCAGATGGAATATGTTATGCTGCTGGCATTCAATAAGGAATATAGTATCTACCACTTTACAGGTTATGAAGTAAAAGTTCAGGATATTGAGAGGCACAGAGTCATAGAGAAGTAAATCCAAGATTAACTCCAGATGTTTCTAAGCTGACCTCTCACATCCATCTCGGCTCCCACTGGGTTCCTAACTAAGTCTGGCATATACTGAATTTATCACATGGGTTGGGCTTCTGGCACCTTCTTAGATGAAGTGGATGCCATGAGCTAAGCTCACAGGACACCAGGATCTCCTTTACCATAGCCTTGCAGAGGACTTAACTCTCAGCCTTCATTCTGGCTAAATAAGAATGCCTTACCTATATAATACCAGACCATTACATTTATAGAAGACAGCAGAAGTTTGGCTTTCTGTATTTCAGCTACAGTGTCTGTGGTTCACATTTGTAGGCTCTCAGTGCCTCCCACGTAGTGTCTGCGAACTGAATGTCTATTTACAATGACCCCAGGAGTTGTACACCATCACCATCTGTTTGGTGATAAGGAAGGGGGCTTGGACTGGTGAGAAAGCTTCTCCATGATCTTGTAGCCAGCGTGGGAGAGTTGGTCCTGGAGCCCGCAGATGTCAGCAGTCAGCTAGAGAACAGCAACCCTAGCATCTGTCTTCTCTTTCTTTCTCTCCCAACTCTCTCCCTCACTCCTCTCTCTGCCCATCTCTCCACATCTCTGCAAAAACTGCAGCTACCAGTTTAGAAGATCTTTCAAACCTTCACATCAAAGAAAACAATTACTGAATTCCATCTAGTACTTTAGTTGGGAACAACAGAAAACTCTGGATGTTCTATCAGAGGACTTTTATTCTTTTTGGTGCTTGGAATCTTATATGGTATTACTAGTTCGAGAACTAGCAATAGCTTTAAGTTTCATTCTTTCATACAAGTACGTCCAAAGATGCTAATGCGACAATCCCGTTCTGTGCTCTTGTTCATTAGCGTAGAACTAGTGTTAAGAGGCTTATAACACTGCATTCAGCAACCTATTAAGCATATGGTTCAATGACTAACTTCCAGTGGGGAAAAGGGCCCTTGAAGACCTTTGCCCTTCACTGACAACGGGCAGGCTGAATTTGGATGTCTACTTAGGAGGGCGTTTATGGAGCCATATAAAATTGCATTCTAAATTATTAGCATTTCTTTCAGGGAATGAAACCTTATCCTTAGAAATGCATGAGTTGAACATTTAATACATTTTCATCATATATTTTTCTCCCTTACTCAGTTTTCCATTCTGTACAATTGCTGGTTAAAAGAGTAGTTGCCTGGAAAAAAAAAAAAAAAAAAAAGAAGCTGCCTAAGGGGAGAAAAAAAAAAAGGGGAGGGCTGGGGGGGGGGGGGGAGGAGAGTTTGGAGGGGGGGGGTCCGGGGGGGAAGAGGCCCGAAGGTGCCTGGAGAGGAAAAAAAAAAAAAAAAGTAGCTGCCTAAGGGGAGAAAAAGAAAAAGGAGTGGGCTGGGAGGGAGTGGGAAGCAGAGTTGTGAGAGGCGTCGTCCGGGTGGGAAGGAGCCCGAATGTGCATGGAGAGGAGACCAAAAGAGGCATCCGTAGGGCAGAGTGGGCAGAAAGACTGGGCGAGGAGGCAAGGGAGCGGAAGGAAGAACACGGGGGAAGAAGCGGAGCCAGAGCGCAAACCCAAAGCCTCCAAAGAGAGGCTGATTTACAGCATGCCCCTTCTCCCAAAGCGTAACTTTTTATTTCGGTCCATGCAATAAGTAGGCGTCAGATGTCAATAGAACTCTTGCTTTTGTGGAGTACATCACACAGCAGTGTTCCAGACCACATAACTGAAAGCAGATAAACTGTGTGACATGAAAGCGTCAGGCTTTGCACTCAGCTGAAGTTATTGCTGCGGTATGCGCTGGAGTGTGGGACACTCCAAATCCGCTCCAAATGCACAGGAACTGGGGGACGCGCCGTTTCACTGCCTGCTAACATGTTATACATGGAATTTCACACACAATGGAGAAAGACAAATTTCACTTTCCTAATAGACAGAGACAAGAGAGGCTGAAATGAAATCTAGGCTATACTTTGCCCCCTTATTCTGGGATGGCAAAAGTCCAAATCGTTATTGATCACCTCCTCTGTGCCTGGTTTAATTCAAAGTACTTTGGCTAGATGGGGTCACAAAACTAAGACCTTGTCTTTTTGGTGATTACGTGATACTCGGGCACCCAATGGACAAGGGACATAGTGATTAGGTTAAGCAGCATGTTACAAGGTGACTGTCATGTGGAAAATTAAAAAATAAAAACCAGAGTGAAATGGTGGGAGAATTTCCATCAGGGTAGGGGGTGAGAGTCACCTCTAGTGGCAGTCCAAATGGAGAAATCCCAGTAGTCCTGTCCTTACTGAGGTAGCATGTAAGAGAGCTTCAAAGAAGTAAAGGGCTAGCTGTGGAACAGCCTGTGTCAAGGCTTGCTTGGTCTGGGCGGGGCACAGTGACGTGGCTCACTTGCTGAATGACTGAAGTGAGAAGCGTGAGAAGACGTCAGGACTGCAGTAATTTGGGGAGGAGGTGGAGAGCAGAAGGTCCCGTCTCTTTTCTATCCTCACCTTTACAAAGTCACTTTACACATTTGGCTCTGGGAAAGCACAGTGCAAGCCTTGTAAATCTGGCAGAGCAGGGACCAGAATAGAGCGAGGGAAGAGAGGCTTCTTCTAAGTGCTGACTTAAAGAAACACTCACTCTGGGCTCCGGGCTGACCTAAGGACCATCTGCGTGAGTGGCCACTTTAACGTGGTATCCTCAGTGACTTCCTTGCCTTGTCCTCACCCGGATCCTGATGAAAAACTCCTACTACTGACTTTACCTACAGATCAGGCATTTCTGCTCCCACTCCTCTCCCATGTCCTCCTGATACACCTGAGCAGGATATACCAACAGAAGGGATAACCTGTCTCCTCTCTGGCCATCCCGGTCACCCCTGCCCACTAGCAGGCAAAAGGACTCTGGGCTGGCTGGCATCCTTAAGCCTCTAATACTGGCAGTGTGTAGATGGGGTAGAGAAACTGATTTCTAGTGTCTAGGCAAAGCCATTCAATGAGCCACGACTGGGAGATCAAAGATGTGACTAAGGAACCACTCTAGGTCAAGTGCACAGGGAGAATCACTCCAAGCGAGCCTGGTGGATAAGCTAGGAAGCCAATGCTCCACACAAAATAAATATGGCTTAGAATGTGCTAGGTGTTTATTCTGTCCCCAGGAACTCAAAGAATGGAGACCAAACTTTAAAAAACTGGAAGGTTTTTTAAACCTTCTCACAAGTTCTCACAAGGACTCTGAGAGTAGAGAGAGGACATGGGCAGGGCAGTGTGGCAAGTCTTCCAGCAGCACATGCACAGTGCCAGGACCCCTCCCAATCCCCCACTCAGACCCCAGCATTGCCATCTCTCATCAGTTGGTGGAGGCCCTGCCACATAGCGTGTACCCCAGCATCTTCCGGCTGTCCCCTGCCCCCATTTTTTCTTACAGAGTTCAACCAGCTGTGGCTGACCTTGTATAACTGGCAAAGAACTACTGGCACAGGCTGGGAGGGAGAGAGGGAATGGGAGTACGGAAATGAAATCATAAAAAAAACCATCAATTTTTTCCCACTTAAGAATATGCAAAGACTAACAAGAGTTTTTTTTTTCTGGAGTATATACAATTTTTAAAAACTTTTGTCAGAATTCAAGTCAATACTATATTGAATTTGTTGTGAAATTTAGTGAAGGGTGGTATTGCTTTTATCTAATTATGGCATTGTGTAGCCTGTAGCCTAAATCCTGAAAAGCCAAACTACTGGAAATGTGGCACAGGCCTGGAATCCTATACTCTAGAGGCAAGAGGCAGGAGAGAGTTCCAGACAAGTCTAGGCAAATAGAAAGACCCTGTCTTTAAAACGACATCAAAATACAGTTCCCTGGACACAGTGTCCCACATGAATTACTACTGACATTAATAACATGACCACTGGACACATGTCCAGTATAGCTCCTTAGACCAGAAAAATCCATTTGTCTGAACTGGAACGTGGCTGTGCACTGAAAACCCTGCTTCTTGTTTGCTGTTGTTAGTCTTTATTGGCAGCTGTTTATTTTCTCATATCCTCTTCTAGTTGGCTTCCCGTTGTTGTGATAAAACACTGATTAAAACCAACTAGGGGAGAAAAGGGTTTATTTCACCTTCTACTTGAGAAGCATAGTCCATCTTCAAAGGAAGCCAGGGAAGGAACTTAAGGCAGGAACCTACAGGCAGGAACTGAAGCAGAGACCATGGAGGAGCACTGCTTACTGACTTGCTTCCCTTGGCGTGCTCAGTAGTCCCCTTTATACAGCCCATGCCCACCTACCATGCCACTGCCCACAGTAGGCTAAGCCCTCCTACATCAATTATCAGTTAAGGGAATATCTCTAATTGGCGAAAGGCCAATTAGATGGAGGAACTCCCTCAACTGTGGATCCCTCTTTCCAGGTATCTCTAGCTTGTATCCCGTTGACAAAAACTAATCGGCACATATTCCAAGTGTCCCAAGGGTTTAGGATCAATTTACCTAAATCTATTTCTGAAACTTGACTTTCTCAATCTACTTTTTAAAAATCCCACATTTTTCAAGGTAACTGACCCCCTTTTCACCCCCTTGTGTCTTCCCTGGCTCAGAAAAGATGAGGCAAGTGGCTCACTGTCTTCTTCATCCAAGTTTTACCCCCAATCCTGTGACATTAACATCTAACGCTGTAGTCTGACCTGTCACCTCCCACTTTCAACGGACTTTTTTCTTGATGAGGGTAAAAGTTCATGATCCTGAACCACTTCTAACCGAAGACACAGGTAAACCAGGTAGTGGGACCCATGCCCAAGGGTGCAGAGCTTGATCTCAGGCTCTTTTCTCCTGACTTCCTTCCAATGTGGTGAGAAACCCAAGTCAGCTCACATAACATGATACATGTACAGTCTCTTCAAGATCATCCCTGGGGACCTAGGACCCCAAATACCATATGTCCCCTCACATATGCACATTCTCTACTAGACCACTACATTCCAGACCATTACATAGGTTCAAGAGAACCCTAAGCCCCTGAAGATGGTTCTTTGTAGGGGATATGGACAGCACTTGGATATCCTGACCTGCATGTCCACACACATGACAAAGCTTTCTAGAGCATAAGATAGAGCCAAGGGTGGAAAGAGAAGGCAGACCAGCACACACACTCCTGGTTCATAAGGATGGAGAATGCTTCTTTATCACTCTGAGCTTTCAGGCCCTCCTCCTTGATAGGGTCTACAAGGATATAATCATGGGACTATTTCTGCTTCTGACAATGCCCTGTCAATCTATCACAGCACAACTCTCTTTCCTTGAACCATCTTCCAAATCACCCAATTTAAACCCATCCTGTCAGCTGTCCCTAGCAAACATTCACTGAGATACCCCCACTCCCTATGATATGTGCTTTCTTTCCACGGGCAAAATAAACCTGCTTATGACTCCCTGTGTGCTTCTCCTCTGTGTGCTTCTCCTCTGCTCTCATTCATACACGTCCAGTTCTAAAAGCTAGCACCAGTTCTAAAATCTGCAGAATGAGATTTTACAGGTTTCTTCTTTTGCCCTTCCAAGTCTGAAATCCAAAATGCTTTAAAACTTGAAGCTTTTTTTTTTAATCGCCAATAATATGTGTAAAATGCTTTGGATTTTGGACACCATGAATTTCAGGTTTTTAGATTTTTGGGTTATGGATATTCAGCCAGTAAATTCTAAGCAAATCTCCCCAAATTTGAAAATTTCTGCAATCTGAAATACTTTGGTCTTCATGCATTTTGGATAATTGATTCTCAAATGCTATCATAATTAAATAATAGCCATTACTACCATCTTCATGGTAAATAAAGCAAACTAGTGATATATGCAATAACACTGACAAATCTTCCAACAATGTGGAGTGAACAATGTGCAACAGGAGATAACAGAGGCTAGGGTCTTAACCAGAAGAAACAAGAGGCAGCTGCTGGGCTCCACTCAGAGCTGTACTGAGACCTGCACGGTTCTAACATGTGCCGAGTAGCGGTCACTGTGATGCTTGAGAGTTCCGTCATTGCTGAGGGTAGAGAGAAAATGGGAGTAGCTGCATGGAGAATGTTTCTGGGGAGCCAGGAAGGTTCTGTCTGTTGATTTAGGTGGTAGTTACCCAACATACACTTTGACATTAAAATACATCAGTGTCACACATAGTCTTCCTTTGTAAGTAAATTTCAGGATAGTCAAATACAGGAAAACATTAGTAAGTGTGGACAAAACAAATACTTTGACTTTTCCTTTCCCCTGTTTCCTTAGAATTTGGTTAGTATGTGTACTGCCAGTAAGTCTTAGATAAACTGCTGTATGTTAGCTTCTGAAAGCACAAAGTTGATGTTCAGCCTGTGAACTTATCATGACACTGGGATACACTGAGAAGACTTTACTTCAAAAAGGACCAGGTCCCCTGGCGGTCTGTTAGCAACCTCATTCACTCTACCTTGAAGGATATTTCAGTTGTCATGGTGAATCCATGGGTGATGACAGGTTCTTCCTCTGCAGTCCGCCCCTTCCAGCAGTCCAGTTCCACACAGCGACATCCCGACAGAAGCACTTGGCGATACATCTCTACAGAGGAGTTCCCAGCCAACTGGCCAGCTGTAAAACACCAGCAAAACCCATGAATCAAGGAAAGTAGTGAGTAGGGGCTTCCAAATGAAGGTGCAGGAGAGGGTGGGGGTTGCAGCGTTCTTCTGTCTCAGCCTCCAGAAGGTAGTAGCCCTAGCCCAGGTGGTATTAGGGTTCCCTAGCAGTGGGGTGAGGGAGAGAGGAGAGGAAAAGGGCATTTAAGAGTAACATGGCACATGCTGATTGTCTGCTTACTGTGTATCAACTACAGCAATAAGTCAACATTAATCTTTAAAAAATGGTACAACTATTTTATAAAAATAAACTCAAACTCCACCCAGATAATGGAAGGGACTCAGAGCAGTTCCGTTATCCAAGTTTCCAAACTGAGGAAGTAGAAAGCACACAATTCTGTTCATGGAGAAGACAATGTTAAGATGCTAGTGCCCCAATCTGATCGACATATTTAATTCCTGTTGAAATCCTACCTGACTCTTTTTTTTCTTTCGCATACAGAAACTGACATCCTGATCTAAAATTTCACATGTAATGGAAATATAAGGGACTGTAAGGAAATGTAAGGGACTTTAATTAACTAAAGCAATCTTGAAAAATATGAACAAAGTTGGAAGATTCACACCTCCCAATTTTAGAATTTACTACAAAGCCATGGTAATCAAGGCAGTGTGGTACTGTCATAGGAAGAAACATAGAGATAGAAGTGACAGTTCAGAAATAAACCTTCAATTCATGGTCAACTGACTTCCAATAAGGTTGTCAAGACAATTCAGTGCAGAAAAAATGGTTTTTCAATGAATCAACCTGGGTCAACAGGACAGCCACGTGTAAGAAAATGAAGTCAGATCCCTAATTTCATGCCATATAGAAAAAGGTATTACAAGATCCAGCACCTAAATGAGAGAGCTAACCACATGAAAGTGTTAGAAACAAATATATGGGGTAAGTTGTTGTAATTTTGAAAAGCCAGTGCCTGTGTACAGCTGATACCACCAGCACAGGCAATGACAGGAGTAACAGAGAGCTTTGGAACATTGAAAATCATGAACGGAGCTGACATGACCCAGAGAAGCAGTTATGCGGCCAGTCAGAGGTGAGCTGGCTTGATGGTCGTTGAGGGTGCTCCTCCCTCATAATTAGCTTTGCGTCCCACCTCCTATGACCCGGTTAAACACAATAATTTTGAGGAAGGAGGAAGAATCATAACGGCCCCTCCTTAGAATCTGAAATACCTTGTAGGAGGAGGAGAAAGTATCACAAATGGCCTCAAAATTTAAAATCCCACATTGCACTGTAACTAAGTCAAACAAAAGGGAGGAAGTAGCCTGACTTCGTGGAGGACCATTAAGGGAGGGAGGGCTATTTCCTCCTAGTAAATGATGACTATTTTTATAGATTTACTTTTTTTTTTTCTTTCTTTAATTGTTTTAAATCTACTCTATTAGGTGATTTTTGGTCAAAGGAATGAGCTCTGACTCATGTCTCTGTCCCTGGGCGGGGACATAATTTTATAAACTGCCCAAAACATCATAAGATTACTATGTAGCCAGAGGTTTTCTAGTGAAGAACAAGGACATGCCAAGGTCTCCTCCCTTAAGAGTTAATCCAAAAGACTGTCAATCACCTGGACAGAAAACGCCCCTCAGGAAAGCTGTTTGTTTCAGAGACTTCAGAAAATAATATATCGTCTACCTAAAAATGTAGACTGGCGCATGGTCCCTCTGGCTTTTGTTCACTTTCACCACAGGACCGTGCTTTCCTCTGAAATGACCCCTTTGCGCAAGCTTCCCTCTCACACAAGACTGCCCCACTTTACCTTGTAATAAACCCTCTGCATTTTTTATACTGAGCTCTGTGTGTCCTATCTGAATGTTTTTTACTGAAGTCACCAGGACTGGGGAGTTGAGGGGAGCTGAGGAGAGATGCTGAGATCAACCTGTTCTGCTCTAAGTGACTCCAAACTGTGTCGGACAGAGGCTTTAGGCTGAGCCTTGTCCTGACAGGCTGCATTTTAGAAGCTGCATTTGACTCCATTTTGAGAACAGATGTGGAGGCAGGATGAAGCCGCACCGTGACAGGCACATAAGTACTATTACCTGTCCAGCACGACCCAACAGGCACATAAATACTACCACCTGTCCAGCACGACCCATCAGGCACAGACTGATAACTTCTTTTTAAAAATATTTTATTTATTATTTTTATTTTATGTTCATGCATGTATTGCCTGAATGTAGGTAAGTGTACCCATGTCGAGCAATGCTCATGGAAAACAGAAGAAGCTGTCGGATCCCCTGGAACTGGAGTTACATTATTAGCTGCCATGTGGGTGCTGGCATTTGAACCTGGGTCTTCTGCAAGAACAGTCAGTGTTCTTAACTGCTGAGCCATCTCTCCAGCCCTAGACTGATAAATAACTTCTTAAAGGTAAAAAGGGTACCACTCAGCAATTTTATCAAAGTAAATAGTGACCATATATATAAGTACACGGGTATATTAAAGCCATATTAGGACAACCAGGCCCAAGAATTTATCGAACAACCCCAGACTGAGGAAAGAGTGTAGTGCCTTTACCTGGGCATCATAAAGAAGAAGACACCTAATCCTGGAACAACAATGGCCCTGCTGGCCTGAACACTGGATGTGTGCAGCAAGGGATAGACAGGCAGAACATTCTTGGTTGTCTCAGTGGCTTCAGCTTGCTTTGTCACCACTGCTGACGCAGACTGCTTGAATTGCAATTTGTCCAATTATTCATCTAGTGCACTTCACCCTGGTCATCCCCATGGCCTCCTACCTCACCCAGATAGTTTGACTCACCGGGGCTCAACTCTGACCCTGTGACTTGACTCTTTATTGGTACTTCCAGCAGACCTTCAAAAGGGCTCATTTTTTGACTCCCACAAAGAGTCCACATCTACATCAGCCGTCTGCTTCTGCCTCTCAGTAAGGTCTCATTGAACAATCTGAACTCTGCGGAGGCCTTTTCAATACTTTGTAGCTATTCTGTAATCTCCTTTATATACATATACATATACACATATATATTCACTGTGTGATGTGGAATATGTGCTCTGAGAGTTAATATTAGTTAAAACCGGAATAAAGGAACCACCTGGCTATTACAGGAAATCAGAACTACTTGACAAACTGTAGCCAAGGAAACGGACATAGCTTGTGATTTATTGCTATTCTATAATTTCTGACATTGTAGAAAAACAAACATGTCCATCTATGTTTCTGAAGATGGGCACTTGCAACAGGAGTACAGTGTGAGGTCCCTGTTGTAACGTGATTATTGTGATAAAGGAAACTGAGAGGTCTGAGGGAAGATGCCAGTGGGCATGAGAATGGAACTACCTACTCCTTTTTTACTTAAGTTAATAGGGATCACCAATTTCTTGATAAAATTGTTTTTAAAAGATTAAAAAGAAATCACCTTTGAAAAAAGGCCATTATCAAATATACAAATTGAAATCTTAGGAAAAAGTTTCTTCATAAACCTGTAGTTTTGTTAGGTTTGGTTTATTTATTTATTTATTTATTTATTTATTTATTTATTTATTGAGTCAGAGATTGAATTCAAAATCCTTCTGACTCAGCCTCCCTGATGCTGGAATTACATACTCTCTCCCTTACCCTGTAGAATCATTTTTCTTATAGCCAGTTGAAAGATGTTACGTTGATAAAAGTTGTCAAAGTGATTTTGAGATTGGTAATACCTGCCCAGTGGAGACACACAGGGGGAGACAATGAGATTCAGCATACTGGCTTACTTTTAGCTTTGTATTCAAGCCACAGCACCAACATCAACATAAAAGGACGGCACTCTTTAGCTCCACACAGCTCTAGTAGAGACACTGAAAGGCTGGTTATACTTGCACAGCTCTTTTCTTTACTGGAAAAACGGGACATTTAAACACACAAATGTATTTGCAAAAACAGAAATGCTGACAAACAACCTAGAAAATTCTTGATGCTGGATAATCAATTTGCCATTCATAATTGCCTCAAAGCTTGTTGTCATTGCAAAAAGGTACACATCTCTGCTTCACAAAAGGCGAGGGAGAGAGGGAATGAAGATCAGCCCGATGCTATTCCTAAACTCCAAAACTAGGAGAAGTGAAGAATTTAAATAATCATAAGATTAACTCACCGAAATTTCTGCTCCTGCAAAAAAATCACATTGGTATTAAAGAAGAGAGCAGGGGTGTATGTCTGTGTGTGTGTGTGTGTGTGTGTGTGTGTGTGTGTGTGTCAGGCTGGGATTAGAGATATTCACCATCATACCTGGCTCTGCTACTTTAGTTTCATGTTGCTACCCTGTATTAGGGTTCCCTAGACGACTAGAACTAATAGGATTTCTCTGTAAAGAATGGTCTTCCCAGGTTGGTTTGCACAATGGAAGCTATGCAGTCCAGCACTGGCAAGTCTTCATGCTGGAGAGGCTGAATGACCCAGTAATTGCTTGATCTAAGAAACCAGATGCCTCAACAGTCCCGGGTTGAAGCTCCCTGGAGGGTAGCTAGTGTGGAGTTCATGTGAAAAGGCCTAATAAGCTGGAGGCTGGTGTCAGCTGAAGGCTGACCCCTAGATGCTCTCTCAGAAAGGACAAGAGTCTTGTATGTGGTGAGCATGCTGCACCCTCTAGCTTCCTTCCATGTGGGCCACCAGTTTGTTGGAAGATGCCACCCACATTCAGGAAGATTCCCCCCCAAGTCATTGTCCCACAGAGGTGTGCTTCACCATCCTAGACATCTCTTAGTCCGGTCAACAACCAAGACCAGCTATCACCCACAGTCGTTAAGCTGAGTGTAATTGGTTAGGGAGTTTTTCCTTACAGGAATAAAAGAATTATTTATTTTCACTTTTGTTTTAAACCTTCCAGGATTTTCTGGAGCTCTGCTCTTCTCTTGCCAGCTTCACTTTGGTGGGAAGTCCTGAGGGTGTCATCAGCGTTGTCTAAGAGCCAGTTAGAAGTGGGTGTTACCAGATCAGAATCACTGGGTGGG